CCCTGGGCGTAACGACCGTGTCCTCGACATCCCAAAGCCCGTGGCCGTGCCTGTGGCTGCTGCCGCGGTGCCTGGCACAGAGAGGAACGCGGCAGAGACTCCTGCTCAGAAGGCCCCGTGATGGGGAAGAGGGACCCCAGGCCATGGTGGTCTGCGAGGGGATGGAGTTCCACAGCCCTGGCTGCTGGTGGCCGAGGAGATCTTTCCTCTGCAGATAAAGAAAGATGTCTTGCAGCCCGCGCTGTTCCCTTGCAGCTGGTTGCGAGCCGGTGTCAGACTGAGAGGGACATGAAGCGTGTGCCTTGGTTGTCAGGGCTCCAGGCAGAAGATAAATGGGGTGAAGTACACCGACCACCAGCATTAAAGCTGTGGTACACCAGGATGTGTTTGTGAGGCCGTGATGCTCTCCTCTATCAGAGATGGCTGGACTGTGCCCTGGTTTGTTTTCACAGGAATCAGGAGCTCTCTCCACTTATCGCTGTGCCTTTTCTCATCTTGGGGAAGCAGCATTCGTATTCGACATGAATTCGATGAGCTCCAGCCGAGCTGGTCTGGTTGGGAGGGGAAGGAGCGGGCTGTGGGGAATTTGGGGATGAATGGCAGAGCAACGCAACTTTGAGGTTCTGACCCTACCTCTTCACCCTGGCAGAGAAAAGCAACTTGACAGTGGATGCGGTGAAGCTGCACAATGAGCTGCAGTCGGGGTCCGTGCGTTTGGAGCGGCCGAGTGACAGCGCTCAGCTCCACATGGAGGAGGACAATGCTGGTGAGGCCGCCACAGAGAAGTCCTCCGGTACCTTCCTGAGTGGCCTGAGCGACTGCACCAATGTCACCTTCAGCAAGGTGCAGCGCTTCTGGGAGTCCAACTCTGCCTCTCACAAAGAGGTATGGGCAGGAGCGGGGCTGGAGGAAGGTCCGGTGGGGATGGCCTCCCTGGATGTCGAACTGAGGGTGCTGACCTGCTCCGCTTGCTGTTCATAGATCTGTGCCGTGCTGGCAGCCGTGACGGAGGTGATTCGCTCGCGGGGCGGCAAGGAGAGTGAGACGGAATACTTTGCCGTGCTGGTGAGTGACAGTCACGGGGAAGATGTGTGAGGGGATCTGCTGTTGGCAGCATGGGTGGGCTCTCAGGATGGGGGGTGGTGGAAGGTGCTGTGCTTGTAGCCAAGGTCCTGGGTGTCCTTCTCCAGCAGAGATGCTGCTGGGCTGCTCCTGGTTTCTCTGCCTCCTCAAGGGTTGGGGATGGGGAAGGGCTGGTGCAAACCCGCTCTCCCCCTCGCTCACGCCTCCTCTGTTCCCAGATGACCACACTGGAGGCAGTGGAGTCCCCCGAGTCACTGGCTGCTGTTGCCTACCTGCTCAACCTCGTCCTAAAGCGGTGAGTGGCTGGTAGAGGAACAGGGAGAGCTGCCCAGGACCACCTTCAAAGAGGGGCTGGTGTTGTCCCCCTCACCAGGCTGGGGAAATGACCCAACTAGAGCAGGCTGGGGATGCAGTTCCCTGCGAGACTGCCACTGGCTTCCTGCTCCTCACGCTACCGATGCACCTTTTTTTTCCTGGCAGGGTCCCAAGCCCTGTGCTCATAAAAAAGTTCTCAGATGCCTCAAAAGCCTTCATGGGTATCGTCTCCTCGCAGGCCTGCAGCAGCTCCACCTCTGCTCTGCGATGGGTGAGTAGCCGAGAGGCAGCCGGCAGTGCCAGCTCTGGCCAGTGGTCTGCTGAGAGCTGGGGTCGAGCTGCTGCTGTAGGGTGGTTCTGGGTGCTTCTCCTCAAGCTATTGCAATGTCTCTGGGGAGATGCTAATGCCCTTGCTGCTCCCTTGTTGTAGGTCCTCTCTTGCCTGGCCACACTGCTGCGAAAGCAGGACTTGGCAGCCTGGAGCTACCCTGTCACCCTCCAGGTCTATCATGGCTTGCTGAGCTTCTGCATTCATACCAAGCCCAAGGTGAGCTCCTAGTTCCCCTGGCGAGGGATGACGCTGCCTTTGGGGCTCGTTTGTGGGGCTGGCTGTGTGTCGGGGGTCTGTGGCTCCTACCCACCTGGGCTCTCCTTCCCCCAGGTGCGGAAAGCAGCACAGTATGGCGTGTGCTCCATCCTGAGGGGCAGCGAGTTCATGTTTGGAGACGCAGCCCCTGAGCATCACCCTGCAGCACCCTCCACTGCCAAGTTCTGCGTGCAGGAGATTGAAAAAGCTGGAGGTGTGGGGCACGGGAACAAGGGGTCTGCAGCTGAGGGGGTGAGGGGGTGCTGTGGTCTGGGCCTGGGTCCCATTCTCCCTCTCTTCATGGGAGAATAGGGACTTGAAGGGAAAAGGGGAGGGAGTAGCACCCTGGATTGCTGGGGAGGGTATGAGATGCCGCTGGAGCACCTAAGGTGTTTTGGACGGCCCTCGGCCATCTGTCTCTTGCTCTGCTATTCCCAGAAGTCGGGGGGGGTGTTCACTCCAGCTCTGTGGGTCAGCCCCAGTGCTGTCACAGGGCGCTTTGCCTCTGGCAGGGCTTTGCCATGGGGTGTCACAGGCTCAGGCGCTGCTCTGCTCCTGCAGGCACCAAGGAGGCGACCACCACCCTGCATGTCCTCACCCTGCTGCGGGACTTGCTGCCATGCTTCCCTGCAACCGTGGTGAAGACCTGCTGTGAGACCTTGCTCCGAGTCATGACCCTCAGCCACGTGGTGAGTGTCCCTGTGCCAGGGGTAGCAAGGGCAGCCCCTTTCCCCCTTGGCTGTGCCCTGGAAGGGCTCGAAGCCCCTCGGCTGCCAGCTGGGCGCCTGGAAATGCAGAATGCAAATGTGGAGGAGCGCAGGTCAACTGGTCTTGCTGGCCTGCCTGCTGTGGAAGAGGGAGGCAGTTGCAGCAGCACTGGGCTTCCTTGGGCAAAGCCTGCTTTGGAGTAGGGGGGCAGAGGGTGTGAAGGGGTGCTGCCTGCCATGGAACCCCCATCCTGATGCCATGTCCTTCGCAGCTGGTGACAGCATGTGCCATGCAAGCCTTCCACAGCCTCTTCAGTGCCCAGGCCAGCGTGGCGTGCCTGCCGGCTGAGCTGAATGCCCAGATCATCACCGTGAGTATGGGGCGCTGGCACGGGGAGGGATGGGGCTGGCAGTGCTGCAGCGCCACCCATCCCTTCTCTGTTTCCCCAGGCTCTCTACGACTACGTGCCCAGCACAAGTGACCTGCAGCCACTGCTGACCTGGCTGTCCACCATGGAGCGGGCGCACATCAACCTGGGCAGGTGAGAGCAGGGGCCACAGCCGGGCAGGGGGAGAAGTGGCCGCTTGTTCTCTCACTCACCCGGTCTCTCTTCTCCAGGCTGCAGAAGGACCTGTGCTGGGCTCACCTGCCCCGGCTCTTCTCGGCTGCCATGAACTGCTTCCTCTCTCCGCACTCCCAGGTGGTGTCAGCGGCAGCACAGACCCTGGAGGTACTGTGCCTGGGTGCCTCTCCTGGCTTGGCTGCCCCGATCCTCGCGGGGAAGCAGTACCTGGGGGTTTGGGACTCGCTGGGAGGTAGTCTGCCCCTCTGTGCCTCCCAGGCTGGGGGTCTGCAATCCACTGCTGCTTTATTTTCCCTGTTTGTCTTTGCAGACGCTCCTGAGTGAGTGTGTCACTCCCCATATGGATGACCTGGGCACTGTCACAGCATCTGCCCCAGCCCCTGCCTCCTACCTGTGCAAGATGTTCAGGTGAGGAGCGGTGGTGTGGGAGAGACTGTCCCTGTGGGTCTGTCTGAGCTCTGAGCAGCCTCTGCCCAGTCCCCGATCGGTGCTGGGTGGGTCCCTGTGGGTGTGACCATCTCCTTTCTCCTCTCCAGATCAGTGGAGGAGGGCCTGACGTATCGTTTCCACGCAGCATGGGACGAAGTGCTGCGGGTGCTGGAGGTCTTTTTTGAGACATGTGGGAAGCAGTGCCACCCCATCATGAAGAAGGTGAGCCAGCCTGGGAGGGAACAGAGGTGTCAGGCTCATCCACGGAGGCAGGTGGGATGGCAGTGCTGCTGCCTGGGCTGTGTTGCCCTCTCTGGCTGCGGAGCGGGGCCGTCCTGGTGCCCACTGTCCTGCCTGTGCCTGGGCAGGGTGTGCGCAGCTCTGTCACTCAGCACAGGAACACACAGGGCAGCTGGCATCCCCGGGCAGGAATAGTGACTGACCCATGCTTGACCTGCCTCTATGGCTCCTCTGTGACTGTCCTACCCTGTCCCTACAGTGTCTTCAGTCCCTGTGTGACCTACGTCTCTCCCCACACTTCCCCTACACTGCTGAAGTGGACCAGGCGGTGGGGGCTGCCGTGGGTGCCATGGGCCCTGAGGTGCTGCTGGAATCCGTGCCCCTGGAGATCAACGGCAAGGAGTGAGTACAGCCGTGGGGTAGCGGGTCCTGCACCCGCTCCCAGCAGCAAAGGACACTTGTCTCCAGCTGACAAACCTTTTCTTCTTGCACCTTTCTCATCTGCATCTTCTCTGACCTCTCCATGAGCCAGTGCAAATGACGGGTACCCCCAACACCCTTAGTGGAGTACTATCCCTTTGCTTTCTTTGGCTGATACTTTCTCTGTTTCCCCCCAGTTCTCGTACTGGGATATGACCAGCTGCCAGTCTGTCTGTGATGGTGGCAATTTTGCAGCTGTTTGTTACATTCCTCTTCAGTCTCCATGCTTCCCTGTGCCCAGCCTTGGGGCTGGACGGAGGTGCCCCGTGCCCAGGGGCTGATACCAGCAGTGCCCATGCTCCCCTGACCCGTGCCTTCCCTTCCCAGGGAGACTCTGGATTTCCCCCGCAGCTGGCTCCTGCCAGTGCTGCGGGACTACGTGCAGGGCGCGCGGCTTGGCTTCTTCACCAGCTACTTCTTGCCCTTGGCGGCCGCCCTGAAAAGCCGAGGTGAGGAGGATGGCATGGGTGGGGGTCCCAGCGGGTGCGATCCTGGGCTCCTGGGAGACCCAGGGTGCTCCATGGGACCTCCCTTCCCTTCCCTGGAACGGAGCAGGGCTTTGCCACTTCTGCTGCTCTGCTCATCATCCCCTTCTCTTCTGCAGCCCTGGAGTTTACCCAGGCTGGGAAGAGCATGGAGGCCAAGATCTACGACACGCTGCAGTGGCAGGTAACAAGGAGGGCCCGGGAGACGTGCCGTGGTGTACCTATGGTGCCAGGTT